CCTCCCTAATGCTGAGACCCTTTAACACAGTTCCTCATGTCATGGTCACCCCAGCCATAAAATTATTTTTGTTGCTACTTCATAACTGTAATTTTGCTGCTGTTATGAATGGTGATGCAAATGCCTGTGTTTTCTGACGGTCTTAGAAGATGCCTGTGAAAGGTACGTCCAGCCCCCAAAGGGTTGTGACCCACGGCATGAGTACCGCTGATCTAGAACGTTCCAAGCTCTGCTTCTTGGCTCAACGCAGACTCCCTAGTTCAATACCAGCTAGTAAAACCACCGGTTAACTGCCAGATAGGACAGAGGCCTGAGAATGACTTCCAGGGATTCGTGGGAAGTTTTTGATGGATGTGTTTGGGTCGAGGAAGTGAGAACATTTATGTATGCATTTGTGTGTGCGAGCATGCATGCATGTGATCACGAGAGCACGCATGCAAGCGAGTCTATGTGGTGCATGTGCATGTGCATGTGCTTGTGTGTGTGCACCCAGAGGCCAGAAGAAAACATGGAGTACCCTGCTCTGTCACTCTTCACCTTATTCCTTTGGACAGGGTCTCTCCCTGAACCTGGGGCTAGGCTGGCAGCCAGCAGTCCCAGCAATCCTCCTGCCTCCACCCTCCATGGTGATGGGTTATGAGTGTGGGCATGCTCAGGTGCACCTGTGTGCACATGTCTGTACATGCATGTGGAGGCCAGAGGTCAGTCTCACGTGTTATTCCTCAGGCACTCTCTACCTTGTTTTCAGATCATCTCTCAGTGGGATCTGAGGCTTATGATTAGGCCGGGCTGACTGGCCCGTGAGCCCTGGGTATCTGCCTCCCGGGTGCTGGGATGACAAGCCTGCACAATCACACAAGCCTTTCTTTCAGTAGTTCTGGATATCTTCATGTTTGCACAGCAAGACTTTTACTGGTTGAGCTCATGGGATCTGTGTTCTTGCCTGAGTTGTAAGGCACCGCCTCAGCTGTTTGGCTGATGCTCCATCCTTTGGTGCTATGCCCACACCAGCCCCCAAGTACGCTTCCTGTGACCCTGAAGTAAGATCCTGCTGAGAGAATCCTGCCGAGGAATACCTTGTTGGGTTTTTACCTTTGCTTTCTACTGTCCACTGCTTCCAAGGCATTGGGGCAGGCCTTTGCCCTCAGGCTGGCTTTTGCCTCATTATGTAGCCCAGGCTGGCCTCAAACTGAAGATCACCCTAGATTCCTGGCTCTACTCCATCTATAGCCAGGAAGTCCTATCTTTAGGTTCACTTTCCAATCCTCTGAATATCTCAGGAGACCCTGGGGATGGGGTGGGAGTGGGGAGGCTTGCCAGATCAGACCAGAAGTTGCTTTGCTCTCGCTCTCGGGCTGGAGGATGAGTCAAGGGAAGTTCTTCGCTGATGCGAGGTTTCCACCTTGAGTGGAATCCTCGTGCTCTGGGGTTCATCTGCTGAACCCAGCGAGCTGACACAGCCCACAAGCCCCTTCCAGGTAGATAAAGGAGACGTCACTGCTGACTCACATGGCTGAGGCATCGTTGCTTCTCACCGTCTGCCCAGAAGACACGGTGTCTGTCCCACCAACAGACGCAGCCACTGGGATGGGGGAGAGAGGACCTTTCCCAGACTGTTCCGGCTGCCCTGCTGATGCTTGGCCAGCCTCTGCTGGGACCCCACGTGGTGAAGCTTACTTTACTGCTCCAGGTCTCCTACTGTTCCTACTCATTCAGCACACAGGGTCCCTACAGAGCTCTCAAGTCTTAGGGCCCAGGCCCCACAGCCACCAAAGATACCTGCATTCCTGCTGCAACTCCCCTCCAGGAGGCAGACAACTGGGCAGTGTCACTTTCTCAGAGCCTGTCACTGTGCTGGATGGCTACTTATTTAGTTTGTCATAAAATCCATATTTTTGTTGGTTTCTAATATTGAAAGCCAATCAATTAAAATAGTTTCCTAGTGGAGAATACTTACATGGCTAAGACAGAAATCCAAGTATATATAATAAAAATCTAATCTCCTTTTCCCCTCCTTTAGTCTCCAGAATTGCCCCATGACACGGCTGCTCCCACCGCGAGTTTGTCCCTCCAGAGATATTCAGACCCTCTTACACACAGCCTTTCCCAACCTTTTCACAAATGGCAGCATCCTGCGTCATGGGACCTCACGTGGCTCTCGGGGTTTTGTGTTGAAGCAGGTGTTTGGTGTCTTGCTCAGGCTCACCGTAGTTCAGTTTGCTCTGTCTGGACTGAATAGAGCTTCATAAAGGGCGTCTTTCTCTCCCCCACGTTCAAAATGAAAAGGAGATGCACTCTTCGTGTCAGTGAAAAAAAATCATATCTTCAAATACCAAATTTCCGCCATGCCCAGGGTCCAACCGTACGGGAGTCTCCACGGTCCGGGTGTGTCTAAAGGTCAGAAGGTCTCTGCAAGTGTCTGTTGTGAGTAACATTGGAATAGGCTCTCTCCTTAGAAACAGTCCTAGTCTTGCAGAGGGACCCCCAAACCCAAAGGCTCCAAGCTACCCACGGGCTAAGCTCCAACCTCTGTGAGTCCACAGAAGTAGTGGGGCTGGGAGAAGGATCCCAGGCACGAAGAGGCAGAGCAGTGTTTCCCAACTTTGGCCTCCTCTTGGGGTCAGCTTTGCTAACTTTTCACACTGGAAGGAGGAAGAATATGACTGTCCTGGGGTCCCTCATGTATGACCTCTGTCATATTGCCTCATGGCATGTCCTCCCATGCCAGGGAAGACAAGCCTGTGTTACAAGCCTCATGGACTAAGTAGCAATTCCTGCTTGCTCATCTGTCAACCATAGACATATGAAATTACACGTTTTAGGGGTTATTGATTTATTTTCTGACTTCCTAGCTTATATTTGAAACAGAGTCTCCAATACCCCAGACTGGACCGAAACTTGCTATGTGTCCAGGCGTGAGGTGAGATAACCTCGAGCTCTGATCCTCCTGCCTCCATCTCTCCCAGCTGCTGGGATCACAAGCACATCCCAGAGAGCTCAGTTTGTGTGGTGCTGAGGATCCAACCCAAGGCTTTGGGCTTCCTAGGCAAGCGCTGTAACCACACAGCCACGGCTTCGGTCTTTAGGTCTTTAGGTGATGGTGGCTGAGTTCAGAAAGTGCTGTGTGGCAGCGACTGGTCCTGACCAACTTGATGCTGAGTGGGCGGCAGCAGAGGCCCCCTCAGAGAGCAGGGTCTCGCAGCTTGAAGCAAGGAACGCCCATGCTTTTCCTAGAGTTGAGGGCTCCATCGCAGCCTGGGTGGGCCAGAGCAGGTAGCCTCAGCCCTGTCCATCGCGAAGAGGAAGGTGATGCAGGAAGGTAGCCATGGGTGGACCTGGGTGAAACCATCTTGAACAAGGTGCGGTGGGTGTGGAAACTCCCTCTGTTAAAAACCATGAGCTCGTTTTTTTCCGTTTCTATGGGGAAGGAGGCATCCAGGAAGTGTGCTCTGAGATGCCTTCAGACTTCTAAGGGTTCTGTCTGTGGTTTCAAGAAGCAGATGAGCAGGGCCTGGAGGAGCAGTACGGAGTGAGCGACCAGCACACCCTGGTTGGGAAACAAATGGGAAGGGGACAGTTTTATTACCCAAGCTATGGAGAAATGTCCTCTTTTCCCATTCTTGCCCTTAAGGAAATAAGAAAAAGAATAAGGGATGGGTTACGGCTGGGAATAGCTAGATAGATTAGCCACTCAAACCAAGGGCAGCAGGCTGGCTGAAGCCATCCTCTGCCTGAGATCAGCTGGTCCCTCTGTAAACAGAGAGCCTGGGATACAGCAATGCTTCCTCTTTACTGGATTGGCTGTGAGATGGTCAACCCAGAGTGGTTGGGATGGAGGCCTTTCCCACACAGAACTAAACCCGGGAAAGTCCAGGGTACCGTGAAACAGGAGTGGGGGACTATGCTGGTTATTTTCCTCATGGCTGGTGACCCAACGAGAAGCGACTTACAGGAGAGAGAAATCACAGGTTCTTCTGTGTCTGTGATGGAAAGCATTCTTGGCTCCAGGCTGCAAGCTTTTCCTCTTAGGAAAACAAGCGTCTCTGTGGTCTTAGCAACACTCAAGCTGGACAGTACTGAACATTGCCTCATGGTGCCTTCTGGCCTCAACAGGGTGGCCCTTCCTCCCCTATAGGAGGTGATGGGATTATTCTGGGAGCACTGGGGAGCCGAGGTGGCAGGAGCTTCAGGTGCTCACAGGCATCTGCGAGTTGGGAAGTGGAGAGCAGTGTGCGGCAGATCTGCTCACTGTCTCCTTTTCTGTCTGGGACCCCAGCCTGTGAAACGGCTCCATCCACATTCAGAGTGGGGTGTTTGTTTGTTTGTCTATTTGTTTGTTTTCTTAAAGGCAGGGTGTCTCTGTGTAGCCCTGGCTGTCCTGGAACTCACTCTGTAAACCAGGCTGGACTTGAACTAGGATATCCATTTGCCTTTGTCTCCCAAGTGCTGGGATTAAAGGTGTGGCCACCACTGCCCAGCTAGAGTGGGTCTTCCTACCTTGTTAAAATCCCTCCCATGGGGCTCAGGAGTTTAGAGCATTTGCTGCTCTTCCAGAGGTCCTGGGTTCAATTCCTGCTGCCCACATGATGGCCCCAGCCATCTGTAACTCATTTCAGTGAATCCAACACCCTTTTCTGGTCAGGCACACATCTGGTACACAAATGTGCATGCAAGAAAAATATCTGCACACATAAAATAAACAAATCTTGCTGGGTGGTGGTGGCGCATGCCTGTAATCCCAACACTTGGGAGACGGAGGCAGAGAGATCTCTGTGAGTTGAGATCAGCCTGGTCCAGAGTGCATTCCAGAACAGCATTCCAGAGATGCATATTGAGACCCTGCTTCAAAAATAAGAAATGTTTTAAAAGATAGAATGAATATAGAATAGATAGAATTTAGTAGACCCCCAGCCAGTGTTTGTTTCCTTCTGTCTGCACACAGCCAGAGAGAATTGCAATCTTCTAAGGCTAATGTGGCTGTGTTTCCCCTTCTGCTCCAGGCCCTCACCATGCCCACCATCTTCCCGGAATTGGATCTGGAGAACTTTGAGTACGATGATTCTGCTGAGGCCTGTTATGTGGGCGACATTGTGGCCTTTGGGACCGTCTTCCTGTCCATCTTCTACTCCCTCGTCTTTGCCTTCGGTCTGGTGGGAAATCTGTTGGTGGTACTCGCCCTCACCAACAGCCGGAAGCCCAAGAGCATCACCGACATCTACCTCCTGAACCTGGCCTTGAGTGACCTGCTCTTTGTGGCCACCTTGCCCTTCTGGACTCACTACTTGGTCAGCGAGGAAGGCTTCCACAACGCCGTGTGCAAGCTCACCACTGCCTTCTTCTTCATCGGCTTCTTTGGGGGCATATTCTTCATTACCGTCATCAGCATCGATAGGTACCTGGCCATTGTCCTGGCCGCCAACTCCATGAACAACCGAACGGTGCAGCATGGTGTCACCATCAGTCTGGGCGTCTGGGCGGCGGCCATCTTGGTGGCGGCACCCCAGTTCATGTTCACAAAGAGAAAGGAAAACGAGTGTCTGGGTGATTACCCCCAAGTCCTCCAGGAAATCTGGCCCGTGCTCCGCAACTCGGAAGCAAACATCCTGGGCTTTGTGCTGCCCCTGATCGTCATGAGCTTCTGCTACTTCCGAATCCTCCAGACTCTGTTTTCCTGCAAGAATCAGAAGAAGGCCAGGGCCATCCGACTCATCCTCCTCGTGGTGGTGGTCTTCTTCCTCTTCTGGACACCCTACAACATCGTCATCTTCATGGAGACTCTCAAATTCTACAACTTCTTCCCTAGTTGTGACACGAAGAGGGACCTGAGGCTGGCCCTCAGTGTGACGGAGACAGTGGCGTTCAGCCACTGCTGCCTCAACCCCCTCATCTACGCTTTTGCTGGGGAAAAGTTCAGGAGATACCTTGGACACCTGTACAGGAAGTGCCTGGCTGTGCTGTGCTGCCGTCCTGTCCACGTCAATTTCACACCGGAATCCCAGCGGAGCAGACAGGAGAGCATCCTGAGCAGCTTCACTCGTTACACAAGCGACGGAGAGGGCTCTCTCCTGCTCTGAAAGGCCTGGACCCCACTGCGAGCCCAGACTCTCTGCTGCTCTGAAAGGCCTGGACCCCACTGTGAGCCCAGACTCTCTCCTGCTCTGAAAGGCCTGGACCCCCTGTGAACCCAGACTTCGACTCTGACTCCGGGTAATGAAGACAGACTTTCTCCTGCTGTGTCCTATGTGCAAGAAACATGGACTAGATGCCTACAAAACAACCCCACAGTGTTTTTGAAAAATTTTTGTTCAATTCATGAACAATACACATATTGCTGGCTGTAAATGCTGAACGCTGGGGCTTACGCATGACAAGGCTTCTAACCCGACTGGATAAGTCACAAGGGGTGGCGAGGGTCATTCACGTGATCATGTGGGGGAGAGGCTGATTAAATCCTCAGACTGAGAGGAAACCAAGCTTTGAATCCAGCTAGAACGTCCCCTCTCTGGCCTTCAGCCTCTGAGTACTGACAGGCCATCCAGACACACTTTCCATAGCCTCAGCGTCAGAGAAGGACCTGGTCTCTCTCCGATTTCAAGGTCAGCATTTCCAGGGAAGGACTTCCACTGGCCAAGCTGTGTCACGTGCCCATCCCTTGATTCCTCTTGAGGAAGAGACCTGGTCAGTCATCCTCACCAACATAGACCATGAGACCCTATTTGGACAAGTTTAACAGAACTGCCATATATGGGCTGCCTGTGCATGCTTCAGCATTGCCAGGGCATGCATGCATGCATTCATTCATTCATTCATTCATTCATTGAAATAGAACTGATCTAAGATATTATTGGAACCTGAAGGTTGGAGGTTGAGGAAGATATATTTCTAAGAAATTGGAGGGTGGGAACTACCCTGATAAGACAGAACAAGATCGGCTCCTCTGCCTTACGACGGGACTGACTGACCCAGGCTCTCCCCTCAGCAACCAGCCTGTGTCTACTGCCAGCTTCTTAATTAAACCCATCTTGAGAATGTCCTGAAAATTCCAAGGGCTCCCACTGACCACTGCATCAAATGTAAACTCAAGTGCCTGGCCTCTGAGACCAGGGACATAAGATGCAGTTCTAAAAATAGACTCTACACTGCCCCCTCCTCCTTCCCAAAGGACCCCACCCACGCTGCTGCCAGGTCCCTTCCATTTGTCTTTACCCATATCCCTCTGCTTCTCTCAACACCCCCCACTGGGGGGAGGCAGGAGATACAAAGAATCTCACCCCAGAGTGAAGGGATGGATTTATATCCCAGCTCTGTCACTTGTAATTGGGGAGACCGGAACCAACAGAGCTTCAGCCCCTCACCTATAAAAGGGGGACAGTGGTGGCCTCATCTATTCTAGCACGGCAAATCAGCCAGGAATTTAGCTTCCCCTGTGTCTGGCACTGTTGAGCTGCCTCTGAGAGATAGCACAGATGGAGTGGGAGGAGCCTGCAGGAGACAGCCAGACAAGAGACCCCCATTCCCACAGTGATGCTCAGCGGCACCTAGATCTACAGACCCCTAACCATCTCCCTGCTGTCAATCAAGAGCCAGGCTGTGAGAGCAGCTTGCTTTCTGCCCTCAACCCGAAAGCATCATGTGGTCTAACCACAGGAGACCCTCACAGCTGCACCCACTGACTGGGGACTGCACAGTTCTGTAACTTGCTTTCTAAAAAGCGCTGGGTCCCAATTGCTCTCTGTTCCGGTGTAGCACTGTAATAACCATTTGAGAAGTCTCCCCCCCCCCCCCCGATGGTGGCACTGAGGAAGCTGTGGCATGTGGCTCACTGTGGCGTGTCTGATATCTCCTTGGCAGTCTGCGTGTTTGTTCCAAGGGCGGCAGACGGAGTCACATCCCTCACAGACACGTCCAGCATGTTGACATTGCAACACAATGCTGTCTTCTACAGCGGTCACAACTGAGAACCTCAAAATTTAGTTACCAAAGTGGGGAGACGGGAAAGATGGCTCAGTGGTTAAGAGCACTGGCTGCTACTCCAGAGGACTGGCGTTCAATTTCCAGAACCCACTTAGTGTCTAACAATGGTCTTTAACTCCAGTTCCAGGTGATCCAACAGCCTCTTCTGGTTTCTGAGAGCACCAGGCAAAAACGTGGTGAACACACATGCATGCACAAAAAAATAAGTAAAAACAAAAACAAAACCAGAAAAACTTGTTTGGTTTTTCAAGACAGGTTTTCTCTATGTAACCCTGACTGTCCTGAAATTCTTTGTAGACCAGGCTGGCCTAGAACTCATAGAAATCACCTGCCTCGACCTCCCAAGTGCTTAAAGGTATTAAAGGTATATACCACCATAATGGTCTTAGTAAATAAATTTTTTTATTTCAAAAGTCTCATAGGTTTCAAGTAAGTTTATGTTGGTGTTGCTCCGTGGTCACCGCTGTCTGGGGCTGCATGGCTAGATACACCTACACCACATCTATTGTACTTATAATTCTGTTGATACACATTTGGTTTCCTTCCTATTTTTAGCAAATACAAATCTCACAGCTCTTTAATCTGTGGAATTTTCTTTTTCCTGTTCAGTTATTTCTACCAGATAAGTTCTTTGCCAGGGGATAACTGCACCAAAGGGTGTGAAATGCTTCAGCTCCTCTCTCCAAGTATATGCGATTTTATCAAAAAGCAAAGTCTACCCATGGCTTTAAATCACAACACTCCTGAAGCAGAGGCAGGTGGATCTCTGTGAGTTCAAGGCCAGCAGTCAGCCTGGTTTACAGAGCAAGACCCTGACTCAAAAAAGGGGGAGGGACATGAAAAGCTCTATAGGATAGGCCAACTAGTCCTTAGTCTGAGCAGGCAATGCAATGTTCTCTAGGATAGGCCAACTAGTCCTGAGTCTGAGCAGGCAATGCAATGTTCTCTAGGACAGGCCAACTAGTCCTGAGTCTGAGGCATCATCATCATCTTGACTAATCAGGAAGTAATGGCATCTGTAAGTCTGTCAGATGCAGCCATATTGTCTCTCTGCAATGCCACCTTGAACGCCAACCACAGTAAAAGCTGTTTCAGCTTCTTTGAAAAGTTTTAACCCTGACTGACTGATCAATTGCATGTATATGTGTAAATGTGTATGTGTGTGCGTATGCGTGTGTGTGTGCCCGTGAAGGAACTCAGAAGACAAATTGCAAAAATCAAGGTTTTCCTTCCATCAGGTAGGTCCTGGGATCAAACTCAGGTTGTGGGGATTGGTGACAAGTGTCTTTATCTGATGAACCATCTCTCTAGGTCCCATTTAGATTTTGGTACATATGTATAACCTTCATTTGATAATGACAATTTGCTACTAAAAAGCACATATTTCATACGACATAGGAGCTGGGCTCCAGAGAAGTTTCCAAGGCGGTGAGACCATAGCTCTGCCCTCAGGGATTTTATTTTTGAGATTGAGTCTCAGTGTGTATCCCTGGCTTGCCTGGAACTTGGAGATCTGCTGCCTCTGTCTCTGAATGCTGGGTTTAAAGGTGTGCCCACCATACTAGGCTTGATCTCTGTAGACGGAAGCATCTAGAATATGCTTGCTTGCTTGCTTGCTTGCTTGCTTGCTCAGAGGTAACAATGTCTGACCCAAGACTTTAGAGATAAGAATTTCTCTAGGTAAGGAAGGGTCTGTAGTGCTAGGAGGATAGGTGTGAGTTCATGTAAGAACACAAGGCTTTTAGAATGCAAGCTAATCCCACAAAGACGGGGGGGGGGGGGGGTGGGTCGTGTAAGACATCAGTAGCACAGCTAGAAGGACATTTCCTGGCCTTGCATTGCTGCATGTGGGGTTTGCTCAGCCAGCAGAGGGTGGTGTCCAAGCTGCTGCTCCTTCGATGCCAGATCCTCATTCCAGCTGTTGAACCCCGAGAGTGTTCATTAAAGTTGAACCTCTTTCTGGACTCCATGTGGGGAAGAACAAACAATCCTGGCCTGAGAAACAAAAGTAGAGAAGCAAATACTTTCTTTTCTACAAACCAATTAACTGCACTGAGCAAGCGAGATGGCTCAGCGGATAAAGGGGCTTGCCACCAAGCCCGTCAACTTGAGTTCAATCCTCCGGCTCACAGGGTACAAGGAGTGGAGAAACAACTTCCACTTAGCTCCACACAGGTGCTGTAGTGTGTGTGTGCTCTCGAGCGTGCACACACACACACAATAAAAATAAAACAATGCATCAGTATCCTGTATCCTCTCATTCGCTTTGCTGAACAGGACAGGATGAGGAGAACACAGGGAATTTCACTGAAAACAGTCATATGGCAAGGACGCATTTGAAGTCATTGGCTGTCGACGCATAATTGGATCAGACCCTACTGCTGCCTCTGAGCTCTGAGTTCCAATCTGTGGGGGTTGGAGAGATACGTGACAACCCAGCACACTCCCCTGAGGCCCTCAGCCAGTTCCTTGCATTCTCAGAGGCCCCATATTCTTACCAGAGAGGAAGAAGCCCAGGGCACTTCCACATCCTGGCACTGTGAGGGTTAGCAAGACCCCTCTAGATTTGCATCTGGCTGTGAGGGTTCAAGCAGCACTCTGTTTCTCTTTGTCCTCCCTTTCTGTGGGACGACACACCCACTAGCTTGTCCTCCCTGCTTTGTTTTTCTTAGTTCCAGGATCTGAAGTAACTGGGTCCTAACGCACACTTTGGCTAGGCTGACTTTTGTGATGGGTTGGTTGGGGCAGCGTGTGTGTGTGTGTGTGTGTGTATGTGTGTGTGTGTGTGTGCGCGCGCGCGCCTGTGTGTGTATGTCTCTGTCTGTGTGTATGTGTGTGCATGTGCGTGTATGTCTCTATGTCTGTGTGTATGTGTGTGCATATGTGTGTATGTTTCTATGTGTGTATGTGTGTGCATGTGCGTGTATGTCTCTATGTCTGTGTGTATGTGTGTGTATATGTGTGCCTGTGTAAGTGTATGTCTCTGTGTGTGTATATGTGTGTGTGCATGTGTTATATGTCTCTGTGTGTATGTGTATGCATGTGTGTATGACAGGTCAACCCCAGGCTTCATTCCACTTGATTTTTGAGACAATCTCAGTCTCCCTTTCACTGGGGTTTCGCCAGTTAGGCTAAGCTGCCTGTCGAGGAGCCTGAGGGATCTGCCTATCTCTGATTCTCCTGTACAAGGACAACACATGCACACCAGCCTTTAACACCTGGGGTCAAACTCAGGCCCTTGGATTTCCACAGCGGGCACCCTACTGGCTAAGTCACTTCTCCAGTCCCCAAACACATGCTTTGTAGCTAAGGAAAAGACGGCCAGTCAGGAACCATGGCAAACCCCTGAAAAGGCAGGTTCCAGCCTCCCAGCGCCCTGCCTTCCTCCCTCATCCTGATTGCAGTGCAGGCCCTCTGACCTCTAGGAGCAGAGACCACAGGCAGGTCACAGAAAACTGAGGAAGAGAAGATCAGCAGGGGCATGACCATGGAGCGTCTGAGGCGTGTGACCTAGCCCGTCCCTAATGGGGTAAGTCTGTGCACACAGGTGCAGGCTAGGCTGCAACTGTCAGTGACATCACTGTGTGTCATGACAGACGGCATGCCCAAAAGCATCATCTGTAAAGGACATAGGATGCCCAGAGGCTAACGCAATCAGCAGCCTTGGGAAGGGCCAGACCTCAGACAGACACGGCAACGCTAGAAAGAGCTATGTCCAGGTGCCAACCAACGCTCAGGCTGAAGGCCGAGTTCACTCACTTCAGTCCAAGTTCACTCAGGGACAAAGTGACTCCTCCTTGGAGGCCTTAACACTGAGACATACAAACAGAGAGAGAGAATAGGAGTGCTCAGGTACCCGTCACCTGTATCTATTCCAGGTCCTCTAGGAAGCTGACACTGAGACACACACAGTGTGTGTGTGTGTGGATGTATAAGGTGCACACACCTAGACACTCCTCTACCTCTGAATGAGCGATAAACAGAAAAAGAGTGTTCATGTGTCGTACACAGAGTGACACACGACAAAGAGAAAGGAAAGTCATCGCTGCCTCCCTCGGACTGTGGCCTGGCACTGAGAAGGCCGGAGGAGAGGGCTGAGAGAAGCTGGGGCAGGAAGGTCTGTTTTTCGGGTAGTTGTCAGGCAGTGTTAGGAGCCTGAGGTTGACAATGGAGTTGGTGGAGACAGAGCTGTGTGTGGTGGCATTTCATTTGTATGTTAATAAATAAAGCTTGTCTGAGGATCAGAAAAGCAAAACAGCCCCACTGGTCAGGCTTACAGACCAGGCAGCGGTGACACACACCTTTAATCCTAGTAGCCACACTGGTTGCCATAGAAACTAGGTGGTAGTGGTGCACGCCTTTAATCCCAGAACTAGAGAGGATTATAAAACAGGAGGAGACAGACAGCTCTCAGTTTGTCTCATTCTGAGATTCCTGGAGGTAGCATGGCCATTTTCTGACTGAGGTCAAGGTAAGAGCCAGTGGCTGGCTGCTTTGCTTTTCTGGTCTTCAAGTTGAACCCCAATATCTGCCTCTGGGTTTTTATTAATCGTGCTTCAACTGTGTGAAACGAGGGCTGGGAGGGGCCGTTTGTCAACGACGTGGTGAAGAACAGGGAGAAGGCGACCCTAAAGGCTGACTCACAAAGTAGATGGGAAGAGAGGGCTTGGAGAGCCATGAGTATGCGCCTGTTGTCTTCGTGCCTCCTTCATAGTCCTCCTCCACTCTGCATCCGCCCGGCACACCCGAGGAGGGAGGCTGTGCAAGGGTTAGGGACCACGTTCCTTACTGTTAGGGCACCCGGGGAGACGTGGGGAGACATGGGAGATGTAAGGAGACATGGGGAGCCATGGAGAGCTGTGGGGAAATATGGGGAGCCGTGGGGAGATGTGGGGAGACATGGAAAGGTGTAGGGACCCATAGGGAGATGCGGGGAGATGTGGGGAGAAGTGGGGAGATGTGGGGAGACATGGAAAGGTGTGGGGAGCCATAGGGAGATGCGGGGAGATGTGGGGAGATGTAAGGAGCCATGTGAAGATGTGGGGAGCTGTGGGGAGAAGTGGGGAGATGTGGGGAGACATGGAAAGGTGTGGGGAGACATAGGGAGACATGGGGAGAGGTGGGGAGAAGTGGGAAGCCGTGGGGAGATGCGGGGAGCTGTGGAGAGCCATGGAGAGGCGTGGGTTCAGACCAGGGCTAGGTGTGCAGGCAGCACACTCTATCCGGGGCTCTTTTCTCTTTCTCTATCAGTCCTTCCCCATCATCAGACTGAAGAAGGGGAGGAAAAACACTGAGAGGACG